CATTAATAGTGGTTAGCGTGTATGTCATCGGCGATGTTTTTGGCTAATCTGCCTATTGGACAGCACGCGTTTGAAGTGTGCGTCGCTCTCTCTCACTCTATCTTCCAACACACAAAATTCTATTACGATCCTTCGGAAGTACTTTTCTTACCGTAAAATGACAACATCATTCTAAAAACGCTGGTGAATGATAAGGAATAAACAAAGGCTTGGGGAGAGGTTTCAGATGGATCCTCTGCATTCAAGCCAGGCCGAAACTCACCAGTTAGGCATAAGAGCGTTTTCCTTGCCGCGGAACATGATGCCAACGTTAGTGGCGTGATAGATCGACGAGTAGAAGTCGGTGTAGTCTCCTGAACAAAAATCCTTTAAGGCACATTTCACGAATTGAGCGAAGCAAATCCGCAAGGTGGACCGGTCCCTAAGCGCGATTTTACAGCGCGAATGTTTGAGGACGTTGGCAGGTGGATCTGAGAACGCCTGTTAAGCCAGGATCCCTCACGAAGGAAGGGTGAAATGGACTATATTAGAGAAGTGAGGAGGAGCAGAGGAGTCGTATGAGACCCTCTGCCATGTATCGGATTGGGGGTCGGTAGGCGGGAGAAAGGGTTCCCTGGAAGGGAGAGGCGGAGTTGAATTTCCTAAGAGATGCGAATATGACGGCTGACCCTCCCTTTACTCCCCTGTCCCACCCCCTACCTAAAATATAAGTTGGCGTACGCACCAGTAGAACTCTGCGCCTTACTTGTTTCTTCGCTATATCGCCTCATTGTTGCCTGTTCCCTCTACTCGGCACGCAGTATTTCTTCGCCGTGAGCTCATCCGATGCTCTCAAGCAAAATAAGGCTCTGTTAGGAGCGCTTTCAATTGTTTCCTTGGCTTTTTTCGCATTAACGCGCATTAAAGGACCACAATTGATCCCACATCTCATGCCCTGCTACAAGGGGAATGTTTTCTGGCTGGCCGTCTTTCCTAGGGCTTTCTCATCATTCATTTCCAGCAGTGAAAAAATCTAGTGAAAATTTCAATCGTTTTCCTTCCAGCGCAACCCACCGATTGTAGCAGGAAGATGCATGGTGGCGTCCTTTTGGCTCACAATCGCCTTAGCTCTCAGCTCCGGATTTTCCTTGAGTGTTGGGACATCGTCTCGGAGCAGCTTCTGAATAATCGCCCGAGCTTCTACCCACGCGGCTCGAGGCAAGCCCATGAAGGCATTCAACGTCTCCTGAAAAGCTAGCAAAGTTATGGTCTTCAGCTAATTTTTGAAAATGAAATTTATATAAGCCTTGTCATAGCACTCTCCAAGAACAATGAAATGTTTTGAAATTTACCTGGGAAACATCATTTGTGCTGCCTCTTGTTTATACATCACATACTTTATTTATTTGTTATTTAAATATGCCTATTAAGGGATACAAAACCATTAATAACGTTGACTACAGAGTCGATTAGCAGCTCACCTCCACATACTTAAAGGCACCACGCACACTGCTTAGGAGGCGGGCCGTCGAAGGCCAGTAGCTAGAGAAAAAGCCACAACGTGCTAAGAGGTGAGGCTCAACACCCCCATCAATGTATGGCTCAGGGCAACCCGCCTTCTCGATAAAGTCACTATTGCTAGTGAGCTAAGCGAACTATTGTCATTATGAGTGTACGCTATTGTTGAGAAATATTTTTGATAAAGAGAATTCCAACCCTTTTGGGTTAAATTATGTTGAGTTATCAAGAGTATGCGGTCTGCGCCAGTTTTATGCCTGAAACGTTCCGCAACCGCTCGCGTCAGGTTTTTGCCCGCTCACTTTGCAAAACTTCTCTCTTCTTCTCAAGTTCTGAGTTTTCTTACGGAGAAGACTAATTCAATTAGGAAGAGTTTCATAAATCAAGTAGGCAAACCTGTCTGAAAACGTCCTGATGTCCTTTCAGTGATAGACTGTCGAAGAGGTGAGCAATGGCGGAGAGGTCCAGGATCGATTCGCCAATCGCAACACCAATACGGTGTTTTGCCTGAAGTATCCCTTGTCAACTTCTACACTGACAGATGAAGTACTATCTCATCAAGGCCATGCAACTACCGTAAATGCACGACCACAATATATGCAAAGTACGCGCGCGGTTGCGCTGCAAACTCTACAGGCTGTCACACTAAACACGTAATGCATGGTGAATGCAGTTGCGAGTGTTCCGTTTCAGTGTTACCAAACATTCACCGGGGATCTGACGCAGTGTCAGGAACACCGCAGTGTGAAACGCTCTTTCCTTCCTACTTACCCTGTTTTCTCCCGCCCCCTCCCCCTCCCCGCCTCAAAACCCATTGCAAGTCAAATAAACCCCGATGAGAGTTATGGGCTAACCAGTGCGAGTTGCTGGAGGATCAGCCGCAGAGTCATTTTCATTTCATTTATTTCATTTGAAAAAAAAATTTAAAAATGGGATTGATGACAGAAACTAAAGCGTATGATATTCTATTAAGATCTCACACTGAGAATTAATAAACAGAGTTCTCTGTAACCACTCGTTTACTTTAGTTAAAGGCAAAATTTCCACGATAGGAAGGGACAACCCATTTCAAAATTACCTCAGGATGGGATGACTGGCTTTACACCAAAGAAGAGATATGAGAAACGGCCCAGAACCCGAGAAATGGGGACCCCTTCCTTCCCCGCTGATTTGAGCATTTATGCGACTGTGCCCTCTCCGCCATATCGCTCTCTCACCTATCTAATCAACCGCCACGTATAGATCTGCGGCGAGTGATCAGCTGGTCGGTGGGCGGAGATCGCCAGACCCGCCAACTTTGAGGCATAATAGGTCGCCGAGGTCAAATTTTTCGATGCGAATTGCGCATCAGTTCGCACCCTCAGGAGGTCCGTGGGTTACTCAACTAGGTGAATTACTTCTTCCTCGACCTCCATTCTAATCGTAAAATCCTCCTTTAAATTGGCAATATGCAGCTGTACACTTTATATGCCTATCTCATCAGTTTGTACTCCTCACTGCTCAAAATTACTTCTTTTTCAGCCGTTTATCTGTTCTTTGATGCTAAATCGTCTACCTTATGTTTTAGATATGAAGTCATTCATTCCAGTGCCTGAAGGTTCGGATTTCCCGATCCAAAATCTTCCTTATGGAGTGTTCTCCACGAAAGACAATGTGTGGTTGTTGTA